CAGGAACTATTCGAGCCGTTCATGCCAGACTGGGGAGAGAGGTGTTGTAATAATGTAAAATATGTGAAAAATAATGTGTTTTTCGAACAACCTAGTATGAGAGCCTGTTCTAGTACACCCCCAAAACAAAATCAAGACTTTGTAAAAGAGCATAATAGGACCCCTTTAAGAACTGGTCACTGAAAGATTCTTTGAGGAACCAAAAAGTTATTCTATGGTATCATTGCAAAAACTAGTGTAACAAGTAGTATACAGTACACGTTCCTACAAATATATTTTCTTATGATTTGCACATTTTAGGGCATTTGGTGTGCTGTTATGGGAGATTATGACATTGGGAAAGCTACCATATCCCTAGAACACCAACCATGAAGTCTTAAGCCATATCAGTACATGTGCACGACTGCCTTCACCAGCCGGATGTCCACAGAGATTGTAAGTGATATTAGTAGATGATTTCAACAATACATGTTATAAATTGATTGAATGTGAAGACAAAAGATATAATATTTACTTTTTTTGTAGGTATAATCTGATGATGAGCTGCTGGAGCAAAGAACCAACTGAAAGGCCAAACTTCCAGTACCTTAAAGAAACCCTGAGTAAATTGAGAGATTATGAGTCAGATAAAAAAGCAAAGCAGAATGGAGCAGCAGGTCATGTGAACCAAGCCTAACAAGAAGATGGTATGATTTTTATTTCTTTATATATAACAGAATAAATGTTATGATTTACTCTATTACATCTGAATCAAATGTACAGATGCACCTCTTATGGTAACAGTATGTGCTGGTTTCTCCAGAAGAGGTCTGCACTGGTGTGGATGGAGATGAAGATCTGGAAACTGGACTGTCTCCTGTGCTCAGCAATGAGGCACTGAATTACTTGATGTATCGCTCTGAGACCCCGGACAGTGTCGGAACAGACTCATTGACACCCACTGAAGATAAATAATTGCCAATGATGGGTTGAAATGGCCCCCCAACTTTGCACAAAGACCCGTGAGCTGGCCATCACTTTGTAATCTTCTTCCTTGTAAATATTGTATAAAAATAATAGTTGTATTTTGATGTATAATGTAGAATGATCAATAAAAAGCTCGATCTTAACTTCGGTGGACTTGAACTTGAAAAATGGTGTGTATTGACGTCTTTCCGCGGTTGAAACAAGATACCTTCATGGTGTTCATTCATGTTTATTTTGTGCTATAACTAGTAAAGGGAAGAGATGATCGGTTCACCTGCCACTTGAACTGAGGCGCTACAGTGATCTGTCACAACACATTAAAGAGCCACAAAAAGTTTGAATTTCTTTAAAAAATTACAAAATTTGAAAGCTGAGACTTAGAAGTAACCTGCTCTGTCTCGTCTGTCGGCACGTTGTCAGTGTCCTCTTTGCTCCGCGATGTATTTTTCACATAGACTGTGATTTTTCATGGCTTGTCGGACGTAGCAACGGTAACTAAGGGGGTATATGCTGGGTTTTTTTCTATCCTATGGGCATTGGCAATTTCTACCAACTTTGATCTGTTTACCACTAAATATTGTGTTTTTTAATGTCAACAGATTAGCATGTAATTACACTAATTCTAAAAACTGCATTGTGCTCGTTGACTGAATCTGATATCCCATGACACCGCCCCTTCCCGACGTATGGCGCTCTCGTGTCACATGACCGATCCGGGTGGAAGCAGCATGCATGGCGTGCGTGAGTGCGGAGCTCCTCCACAAACTTTACTTTATTTGCACTTAATTCGTCTTTATATTCAATCCATCAAACGGGACGTGAACGTATTTAAAGCTGGAATACCGCTCGCAGCATGGACGAAGGGAATAAACTCCAGTTCCCGTCCCTGCCCGCTGCCACAGAAGAGCAGCTGGTATGATCTAAACATATTAGCGCAGTGCTAACAACAGTCACTCTTCAATCTGTCTGTTTCAAAGCAGTACATGTTTGACTAGTGTGTGTAAATGCATGAATAAATACAGCGGTTTGTGCTGATATATTTAATATATAATAAAATTCTTAACTAACTCGTTGCTGTGAGCAGTTAGCATGTGCATCCAGTGGCTGTGTACTAGAATAACAACAATTCAGAATTCAAAGCCATGCATTTCTCAATACAAATGACAACAATCACAGTCAGGAAAAGTAGTATGGGTAGTATTTATTATGATAGTGGGATTAATATGTGAATAATCTGATCATTTCTATTCATAACCGACTTTAGTTGCTTTAATTAAAGCTTTTAGACTTATTAGCTAACAAATCATTCATCCCTAACCTTCTTTACGATACTAATATTGAGTATAGTCAACAACAACAAAAATATTTTAATCCGTTTAATTGATAATATACCTTTACCCCTAAGACTTTTCACTTAAAGGAATAGTTCACCCAAAAATGAAATCATCCAAGATGAGTTTCTTTCTTAATCAGAAGTGATTTGGAGAAATTTAGCATCACATTACTTGCTCCCCAATGGATCCTCAGCAGTGAATGGGTGCCGTCGGAATAAGAGTCCAAACAGCTGATAAAAACAACACAATAATCCACAAGTAATCACATGACTCCAATCCGTCAAGTCCATTACTTTCATGCTTTGTTGTGGTCTAACTTGAACACTAATATTACATAACTGATTAAGTAAAAAATAAATAAATGTCTGTCAAACAGATTATTGGTCTCGATCATATTTAGGGAGATGCTGATAACAAGGAGTATTATTCCTGTGTTGGCTGCAGTTTATGATTATAGTGGTGAGGTAATATTATTACTGTAAAAATGCGTGTCAAAAAACTGATAATCAGATTTTGTAATCTCATTTCTGCAGGACTGGGCATATCCAATGAGAAGAGAGATGCAGGTGAGTGATAATGAACAAACTTTGCACATGATTTTTTTAATGTTGTTATGGCTATTGTACAGATTGTAGCATTTGTGGCACAGTACATTTTTGTACATTATTGTGTTAGTTCATACTTTCAGAAGACTGTTTTTCAATGGTGATCATTTTTTTCCACCACCTTCAATAGGAATTTTTTGTGTGCTTTATATTTGTTGAGTCAAAATCTTACGTTATTAGGCACATTTCATACCTCATTGTCATCAAATGATCACTTTTACTTAAACGGTCTGATTTCATGATTTAGGAAATCCTCCCAGGCCTGTTTCTTGGCCCTTATTCAGCTGCTATGAAGAGTAAGGTACTGTAGAGATGAACTGTTCTCATGCGACATGATGAAAATGATCTGTGCCTTGGCTTTACTGTAATAATTCATCCTCTCTTTCAGCTCTCAATGCTGGAGAAGCAGGGGATAACTCACATCGTCTGTGTCAGACAAGATATTGAGGCCAACTTTATAAAGCCAAACTTTCCCCATAAATTTAGGTATTTTGATTTCTGGTTGTTCTTTATTCTGTGTGGTACTTAAGTATAACGCTCGGCTATTTCTAACAGCTAATTTTTCCTTGTTTATAGGTACCTTGTTTTAGATATAGCAGATAACCCTGTGGAAAATATTATTAGGTATTTCCCAATGGTAAGCTGACCTTACTTTTATGAATTTATATTATTAATACATTTTTATTTGGTGTGTTATTCTTTTGTCTAATTATGATCATCTATTTTTCTCTTTATAGACTAAAGAATTTATTGATGGATGTTTAGAGACAGGGGGTAATGAAAGTTTCTCTATATTGATCTCTACTTTTAATACTAAATTGAGTATTTTCTCTGTTTTAATCCTGGGTTCAGTTTCTTGTAAAGAAAATAGGTTTTCAGTGTCAACAACATTTATTTTCTTATAATGTCAATGCCTTGCACATTTTTGTGTTGTAGGAAAGGTACTTGTTCATGGAAATGCAGGGATATCAAGAAGGTATGCCAAAACCAACATCCATAATCTTCTTTTATTTATGGTTATAAAAAGATTGTCTTTTAACTGTCTCTTTATACATTTTTTAAATCATTTGTAAAATAATCTCAAATGGCTTGATTTTATTTTATTTTATAAAATCTTTTTCCAGCGCTGCCTTAGTTATTGCCTACCTTATGGAGACATTTGGTGTGAAATACAGGTAATATTATTAGTGGAGAAACAGTTCATGCATGTCCAAAAATATGAATACAAAATAATATGGTTTGTCTTGAAGTGTGCAGATCCTGTCATTTTATTTTTTTACAGGGATGCCTTTAGTCATGTACAAGAGAGACGATTTTGCATTAATCCCAATATAGGCTTTGTTCATCAGCTACAGGTATGATTTTAAAGAAATCTCAGCATTAATAATTCATTCAGCATTAAGTGCTGTTTTATATACATGTATACATAATAAAAGAATGTTCTCTCTGTTTTCATGAAGGAATATGAAGCAATATATCTTGCAAAGCTTACCATCAAGATGATGTCACCCATTCAGTTGGGCAGGTCTTTCTCCATCCAAGCTGGGATGCCAGGTAAGAGAACATTTTATGACCAAACGGTTAGTTTGTAAATAGTTTAATCATTTCTAATAGTGATGTGTAGTATATTGGTACTTTATTAGTTATTATATATATATATATATATATATGACGATATAGGGAATCGTCATATATAGGGAAGTCGTGGACGATATAGGGAATCGTCATATATAGGGAAGTCGTGGCCTAATGGTTAGAGAGTCGGACTCATAACCCAAAGGTTGCGGGTTCGAGTCTCAAACATTGGCCTTTCTCAGACAGGCAGTAAAAGATTTTTGGACCATCCAACGTAAATATGTATTTGTTATCTAAAAAGGGGAATAAGACACTAAAACATTTTTTTTTTTTAATCCTTTTTTCTGAGCTGTATGCACTGAAATTTTTTGCAGTTTTATAGCATTTAAAGCATTTTGCATTTGCAGCGGGACAGTATTGCAATAATGCACTTTTGATACTTGAATTACTGTTATTTTGTTGGACGGATTTGGGTTGGAAGGGAGGGGAGGGTATCAAAGAATGGGACTGTCACTGCCATAGAAATTAAATGGTAGGATGAACCAGTCATGAAAAGCTAGAAATGATGAAAATCAGTCGTTATGTGGGGAATTCATTCAGACTGAGATAAGGAAAGATGCGTTTGCCATAGGATTAACATCCCACTGCTCAATAAAAGATGGCTACTTACATTTTGTGTTTTCAGTGTTATCAATCTCTGGTGCAAAGATATGACCGTTTATGATAGGACTGTTGGGTGTGGATAGATTTAGAATATTTCCATTTCATTGAAATACAATATAAACTTTTAGATTTTTAATGTAACATTTTTAATCCATTCACCCACTTGTCATTCAGTGGTGTTACATCAATTCTAAAATATAACCGTTATAAAAGCACAAATAACATCCCTGACACATGTTTGGCTGTTGATTGACAGATGAGACAAAGCATTTAAATTCTCCTAATTTGTCGGCTATCAGTGAAAGTACACAAATGAAGGCATTTAGCATACAAAGACATGCTTTCATTGCATCAGGATGTATTTCAAAATAATTTATTTTCCTTCATCTAAGTTTTACACATGACTAATAATTATCACCAGTGGATCTTTGTATGCTAAATGCCTTCATTTTTGTACTTTCACGGATAGCCGACAAATTAGGAGAATTTAAATGCTTTGTCTCATCTGTCAACCAACAGCCAAACATGTGTCAGGGATGTTATTTGTGCTTTTATAACAGTTATATTTTAGAATTGATGTAACACCACTGAATGACAAGTGGGTGAATGGATTAAAAATGTTACATTAAAAATCTAAAAGTTTATATTGTATTTCAATGAAATGGAAATATTCTAAATCTATCCACACCCAACAGTCCTATCATAAACGGTCATATCTTTGCACCAGAGATTGATAACACTGAAAACACAAAATGTAAGTAGCCATCTTTTATTGAGCAGTGGGATGTTAATCCTATGGCAAACGCATCTTTCCTTATCTCAGTCTGAATTCATTCCCCACATAACAACTGATTTTCATCATTTCTAGCTTTTCATGACTGGTTCATCCTACCATTTCATTTCTATGGCAGTGACAGTCCCTTGCCTCCTAATCGAGTTTTCCATAAACCCGGCATTGTATATTATGAATATTTTTTGGTTCTTTGATTAATTGCTTCTAGTTTCATGAGCAATTTGTCCTTAAACATTTCACTTTACTCAACAGAAAATTCTCATAATGACTATTGAAATTACAAATATAGCATCATATTAATTATTTTATGTACACACAATAATAAACATGATCTTGTATATTAAAATTGTATATATATATATATATATATATATATTAGTTTGAGTGGCTAAAGACTCTCCAAGGACCACAGCTGGAGAACTGCATTAAATAGTTCTCAGAGTCAGAAAACCTTAAAAAATAAAAATCAAACAGCACCTACACCACATGTCCAACACATTCTGTTGTCAGACACGACTGGAACTTCAAATGGGACTGGCTTCTATGGTCAGATATAACTAAAAAATTAGCTTTTTAGCAACAAACACTCAAGATGGGTTTGGTGCACACAGGGATAAAAAGTACCCCATGTGTACAATGAAATATACTGCTGTATTTTTAATGTTGTGGGCCTATATTTCTGCTGGAGGACCTGGACAACTTGTTTAGATACATGGCATCTTTGATTCTATCAAATACCAACAGATAAAAAATCAAAAAGTGACTGACTCTGTTAGAAATCTTATAATGGGCCATGTTTGGATCTTCCACCCGGACAATAATCCAAAAACAAACCTTAAAAAACAACACAAAAATGGGTCACTTAGCACAAAACCAAGCTTCTGCTATGGCCATTCCAGTCCTCTGACCTGAACCCTATAGAAAATGAGATTGGTGAACTGAAGAGGAGAAACACCATCATGGAGCTGGGAATCTGAAGGGTCTGGAGAGATTCTGGATGAAGGAATTGTCTCTGATCTCTTGTCAGGTGCTCTCTAACCTCATCAGGCATTATAGGAGAAAACTCAGAGCTGTTATTATTATGCCAAATGGAGGTTTCAAAAAGCATTGAATAAAAGGGTGCCGTTAATTGTGTCCAATGTGTATTAGAGAAAAACATTTATGTCATAATGATATTTCCCCCCATTTTAAATTCTTATTCTCCAATGAAAGGATAGATTTATTTGAATTTTTTTAATAAAAGATCAAAATGATTAACAATGCAGATTTATTTTTACAGCCTTCTTTGATCATATTTACTAAGGGTGCCAATAATTCTGACCACGACTGTATATATTTATGATAAGGCCAATATTTGCTCTCATTTTCTGTCCATGTACAGTCATTAAAGACAAACGGACTGTATTTCCATGATTTGTATCTTCCACTCAATATAATGATCCATGGTTTAGTCATGTGAACTAGTATATCAGCTTTCTGCAGGCATTTTTTGTGCTCTCAGCCTCACTATTTCCCGCAAGCATCATTCAATACCTGCTGTCTCTCTGCTTCCCTTTTCATGCAAGTTATTGAGCTTATTAAGGATGCCTGCAGCATTTTTAAGCAGTAATAGGAGACGCATTATGGAATTACTGTTGTCACAAGAGCTGTGTCTATACCATCATTATTTCATTAAATGTGTGCACCATATTGACAAGCCACACGTTAAGCCTTATTTGCTCATTTGTTTGCAAATTAAATTTTTAAATGTTGGGGAGGGCATTCTTAAAATAGAGAAATTAACTATAAAAATAACAATAATAATTAAAATCTTAAATTGGATTTTAAGCTTAATTTCTCTCTCTTTTTTTGCTGTGGTCTGTTTTGATATTATAATATTTGATATTAGAATGCGTACAGTGCAAGTACTTCGATGAGACTTGGGATCAATGGAAGGTGTTTCCTTCTCAAATTTCTTGTTAGTCCTTTCTGTACACTCACATCCGGCAGATATCTATTGAAAGTTACTTAAAAACATTTGAAAAGATGATTAATTTTTTGTTTAGATGCTTGAGAAAATCAATACAAGAAGGAAGAGAGATGAATTCCAGTAACTGCTGCTGAGTATGTCTGAGCAATCATTTTGCACAGTCTGTCCTTAGAAGAAGTCAAGACAAGAAACTAAGGGGTCAAGGTTGTGCTTGCTAGCATGACTTATTAGTTAAGCCCTGCTGACAGGTTACTAGAAAGCAGGCATTTAAAACTACTAGATAGTAACTAGACCAAATCATCTTTCTCTCTAACATCAGTTCAAAATTAGCTGTGTATTCTGACTAAATATTTATTTTCTGCAAGCAACATATAAATTGCAATTAATTCATTATATTGTAGCCAAGAAATCACGCTAACATGCGTAAATGAAAACAAAAACAAACAAAAAAACACATGAAAATAATTTACATTTAAAATAAATTGCAATAGATGTGTCTCATTTAGAAGGCTGCCCTCCGGAGGTCGAGTCCTCTGGAGGTCGCATCCTCTGTAGGATGCATATACGAAGTGTCCTCAACCAAGAATTAAACGAGACAGCCTACATAGGACAGGCGGAAAAGGAAACAGGCAGTATCACGTTGCTATGCCAACTGTGTCTCATTTAGAAGGCTGCGCCCTCCGGAGGTCGAATCCTCTGGAGGTCGCATCCTCTGTAGGATGCATATACGAAGTGTCCTCAACCAAGAATTAAACGAGACGGCCTTCGTAGGACAGGCGGAAAAGGAAACAGGAAGTATCACGTTGCTATGCCAACACATTTAGAGCATCGTTGCGCTCTCACACTACTTAAATGAAGGAAAATTATTTCTAAATTTGTAAAGTAATTTGAAAAAAAAAATGCTTTTACTTTTTTTATTTTGTTCAATGTTTGAGGAGCTGCGGCGTACGTACAGCAGACATCTGTTTGAGAAAAAACGTTTATCCGTTTTTACCGAGGTGATTTAAGGTAAGTTGTAAACAGACCACCACATCTGCGCTTGTGTGTAACGTTACATCTGCAGGCGCCAGGCATTTTTCAAATTAACAACGGTTGTTTACGGCGACGCAAAGAACTGTGGGTTATCTGTAGCAGCGAAGGATACACCTCATGCATCCTCCGAATTTCTGTGAAAGACGGTCGCACTCGGAGTGTGCTAGGTGGGTTTCTGAAATGAGACAGAATATATGTTTGTATTCAAGTAAAAATTAATGGTAAATACGCCTTTTGTATGGAATTAAATAGCAAGCACTTTGAGTGTCTTGTTCATCATATTTATTTTCATAAAAGCAACAGAACTGAAATTATATCACGTTTATTAGCAACACAGCACATGAGTGTGAATAACGCGATATCTGCCTTTGATCTCGTAGGTATCTGTTCCACTTCGAGAGGTCAGAACTGTCCGTCTTGACTGCGCTTATTTCACTCCTCCCCTCACTACAGCCGCCTACATTTCAGGCAAGGCGAGGCGCATCTCAAACAAGCCTAGTAACGCAGGAGGAAGTGTGTATGTCATGCTGGAAGTTTGAAGATCTCTGTAACTGGATTCGAGTTACTGGATTCATTCAAACATTTTATAAAAGTGAAAGCGGTCAATATCCATATGTCTCCGTAAGTAAATGACAAATTGATCTTACATAGGCTACATGAATCTACAACAGTTTGATCGCGAGCTCTGTTGACATTTGATTGAACATACGGATGGTTTTTGGGGAATTACAAGATTGAGAATGTGGGTTGATTTCGTCCTCAGGGAACAGCAGATTGAAATCCAAAATATGAAATGAATCTGATCAATACCTGGACGTAATATTGTGTACTTTCTACTCTGAATTGTGACCTTTGCCTTCATTTGTTGGGGTTGGCATAAACTGCTTTGAGATTATTTTATGCTCATTACTTGAAATATTATCTTTTCTTAAAAATGCAGAGAAAACAACCTTGGTAGACTAACTGAATGTTGTACTATGTCATACTTTGGAGTTTTGGTTTGTAATATAATAACACACCTCGTAAAGAAAGATCTAAATAAGGTGTGTCTGGTGTTATTTAATATAATTGAGATACTATTATAGTTTTTATTTTTTATAAGTTAAGGTATTATTAATTTTTATATTTTTTAGTTTTAGTTTTTTAATGATCAGTTTTATGTTTATATAGTTTTATTCATTTTTATTTCAGGGTTATTTTAATAAAACAATTTAAATTGAACTATTATTTTAATAAAGTTAAACTAAATGAAAATGAGATTTGTTTCCTTGGCAACTAACTGAATTAAAATTAGTTTTTAGTTTTTTAATTTTATAACAGTCAATGTTTATTTCAAGTAACAAAAAAGTTTTTGTATGGTTTAAATTTTACTTAACGATAATAACAGAAGTTTGACTTTGATTTGTGTTTAAATGATCAAAGTCCAAATAAATTGTTGCCAGTACGCATTTATTGCCAGGGATTCCTGATCCGTGATAAATTCATATAAAATTGTATTTGATTATAGGGCCTCTGGAATGTTGCTCGACGAGACACCTCTGTTTGATCCTTCTCTGCTTCAAGAGCTGGACTGGAGCAGCAACACTGTCTCCTTCTCACCTGCTATTTCTCCCTCTCAGCCTGGAGAAGGTCTGGTCCTCCGTCCTCTCTGTACTGCTGACCTAGACAGAGGTACTGGTTACCGTTCAACAATCTGCCCACTCCTGTTCAGTACTTCCAACAATCAGGATAAACTTGTTTGTCTTTATGGATTTTTTAGGCTTCTATAAGGTCTTAGCGCAGCTCACAGTGGCTGGGGATGTCACAGAAGAACAGTTCAAAGGTACTGCATGTTCCTAATGCAAAACATCTCACATTTCTTCATATATTAAAAAAATAAAAACTTTTTTTTTTTTTTTAGCATATTTTGAACATATATGCAGAGGAAAACAGCTGGGAAAACTGTGAGTTTGAGACTTTGAGACAGTTTTACATTAGTTTTAATCATAAGTTTCAAATATTATATATTCACAAATAGTGTATTTTCTTTCAACATATCTTTATCAAAACAAAGTACTTTGAACATAATACTTTTGCTTTTGTTTTTAGGTTGGCATCAACATTGACTCTCCTCAGCAAAAAATTGCAGTGCTACAAAGTAACGCTGGAGTGTGCGCCAAAAATTGTGGAGTTTTATAAGAAGTTTGGCTACTCCACTTCAGATGAGATTCACATGCAGTGCTGGTTCTTTGACTGAATCCAAAAGAATCTTGAACATCACAGAATGTTTGCTTTAGAACTCTTAATCTGTTCTATTTTCTGAGATTGGACTACCTACAACTTGCACCTTTTTTAGCCAGCAAAATAAGAAAAACTTGATACTTTGGTGACAAGTTTTGTCACAACAAAATATTCTGAAATATGCATTTTGAATTCACTACAACACAACAGTGTTGGGAAGGTTACTTTGGTAAAGTAATAGGTTACAGATTACAAGTTACCCTATTTAAAATGTAATAGTAGTGTAACTTTTTCAATTACTTTATTAAAGTAATGTAACTGATTACTTTTGATTACTTTTCTATTACTTTTCTGAATGTTTATTTGCAACTGTTAATCATTTTCAAACATTTACACCATGCAGGGCTAACCTTACAGTAGTGCTCAACACTCTCAGACTTTCAAAATCCTTCATCACTTGAATTAAGATGATCAAATTTGAACACATCCACCACAAAATCAGACTTTAGTACCGCCTTTTACTTTGAGATTGATCTGAAGTTCAATGCAGATTAGGAAACACTGCATCTAACAATGGTTTGAAAAAAAAAGTTAATTAAAAAATAATAATAAATAAAAGCATATAACATCAACTCAAATACGGTTATCTAATAAGCATGTGTCCTATTCTGTGTACTAAACTCCTGAAACATTGGTG